TTCAATCAAATGAAACTTCATTGTCAAAGTTTCTTAATTTTGTCTCCCTCTATGTAGAAATATAAATTTAAATGTTGGATTATTATTTATACTTTTATTTTCATTTTTGGATAAAAGTTTGAACCATCTGATGAAAGAGTCCCCTTGCTACAAATGCGGGGACTTTGCAATGGAGTTTTCCCATAGTATCGCAACACTATTTTTCTCTAAAAGTACCAGTCTTTTTTAGAACAGAGTTATCTATAATTGTTTTGGTAACTGTGCAACAATTAATGCACTGCCTTGTTGAATCACTAAAGTGAACATTTTAAACCACTGCCAAGAAACTAAGAATTGAGTAGATCTAGCAGTCGTCAGTTTTGAAGAAAATGAGTATTTCTAAATGAATGTTTCACGATGGCTATGTCATGGACTACCAGTTCATTGAGATGGATAAATGTGGTCATGTAAGAAAAAGCCCAAAATGCCAACAACATACCACTCAATGTGGTCATATGCATGTGGTTCAACCAACGAAGTACCAAAAGTGTACCCATTTTTGGTCCTCTTGTTCAAGCTCAGTCTCAAATGGTTTCCTACCAGATGACATCAGTACTCAAAATTCTTTTGGAAACCTGAAGACATGGCCAGCTTGATTCAAAAGCTGGCAGAAATTTTAATTTACTTTGAAAGGGGAATGCTAGCTCACTAATGATCCAGACTCAACGTTGTTTCCGACAAAACTACATAAGATTTTAGATGGATATGCCAAAGAACAGATATACAATTGTGACACATCTCTCTGAGATAGAAAGAACTGCAGATGCTGGAGTCAGAGACAACAGCGTGGAGCTGGAGAAACACGGCAGGCCAGGCAGCATCAAAGGAGCAGGAAAGGGTTGGGATCCTTCTTCAGAAATGGGGAGGGCGAAGGGAGCTGGGAAATAAATAAAGGAGGAGTGGGGCTGAGGAAGGTAGGTGGGATGGTGATAGGTGAGTGCGGGTAGGCAGTGATGGGGGTTAGTCAGTGGGATGTGTGGGGTGGATAGGTGGCATAGAAGATGGACAGATTGCATTTGGTCAAGGAGGTCGGAGGGAGGATAGGTGGGGCTGGAGAAAGGTAGGTTGGGTGGTGATAGATTGGATGCAGGTAAGGGATAGTGGGGATTAGTCAGTGGGAAGACTAGGGCGGATGGGTGGGGAAGAAGTTGGGCAGGTTGTGTCAGGTCAAGGAGATGGAGATGAGAGAGGGGGTTGGATATGGCATGAGACCAGTGGTGGGAAGATTTTTAAAACTGGTGAATTCTACATTTAGGCCACTGGGCTGTAGGCTTTTGAGGCGGAATACGAGGTGTTGCTCCTCCCAGTTTGCGTGTGGTGTTCCCCCTCACCTCCATTCAAGGCCCAAAGCAAATCTTTCATGTCCGACAGGGGTTCACCTGTACATCCTCCAACTTGGTCTACTGTATCTGTTGCTCCCAATGTAGAGGAGGGCACATCGGTGAGACCAAGAATAATTCTTCTAGATCTGATCTCAAACATTCAAGCACTGGGTTGCAAAGAATAACTCAAATTGTCCTTTGATGTGGGAGATGGCAAGAGAGATGTGAACATTTGAATCTGAAAAGGAAGC